GATCGACCAGGCGGGTCCATGACCACGAGTGTCCTGCGTCGTCATGTATCATTGACATTTATTATTGCCATCAATCTTAACAAGTTCGAAGAAAATGCAAGACAAGTCCCATCTGACGAGAAATCTGCATGCCAAAATTCAGGATGACAATTCTAGCTAATAATACATGAAAGAATACGTCACACATGACCTCAGTTTGAGACCAAAGGATTGGAATTTGACACAAGAAAGCTAATCGAAGATTATCCTAGCTTTAACCATTCTAGACTTGGAGGCCAAGTTGGAAAAACATAACTTCCCAGAAGATGTCCCCACCAATGGCCATTTCCTGGGAGTCACATACTCATCTGTCAACCCCCACACGTCTTTTATCACAAGGGCGATAAGTCGAGTTGTATGTCCATGCATGCATGTGCATTTCTTTAAAATACTATTATTTTAATAAATTTTGGATCCTTATATATGATTTTATTCATTTGCAAAAAATAAAAGCCATCCTTTGCATATGTTACCGATTCACGTGACTGTAGCTTTCCAGTTTGATGTTTCTCCCGTCAAATGATTATGACAGACACTGTAAATAGTATTGAAGGATCCTTCGCAGATGCTGGAATGATTGATTGTATTGAAATCAGATTCAACGCTTCCGCGTGCTTTCTATAATTATTTTATTATATTTTAGGACGAAAATTAACAAAAGGCTTATATAATATTCAGGGTCAACTTTTCTTATGTTAAATATTTAATCCATAAGTAAAATATTAAATAATTTAATATCATAATGAAATTTTTTACACAAGGTTAAGTTGAATACAAAGATTTCATATTTGTGATGTTGTAACGTATGCTCATTTTTTACACAAGTTTAAATTAAAAATATACAAAATTGATACACTAAATCATGAAATTTCAAATAGTTTAAATCTAAGAATATCACCTGTAAAAAATAAACTAAAATAAATTCTAATGAAATTTTGAAACAAGATTAAAGATTAGTTGATTAAATATATTTTTAAAAAGTTTTAACTCAATAATTGAAAAGGTAAGTAATTCTTTTTCATATTGTTATTAAAAAGAGTATTTAAATATTTAACTCATTGATTAGTGCATGATCCTTTACATAAAAGAAATATTCAAATTTCTCTTTCCTCAATTAAAAAAATTATTATTGTTATAATGGGTTAGCTTAAATTGTTTAAGATGATAAATTAATTTTACATGCAGTTGACTCCAAAATCAAAAACTAATATTTTATATAATTATTTATTGATCATTTATTTATTAACGATTGAGAATTATGCAACTTTAACATTTTTAACCTAATTATATATATAATATCAATATAAAAAATTATGATTAACTTGGAGAGGAAGATTATAGTTTTTGATTGGTAAAATTAAATCACAATATAAGTATCAAAAAAACTTTAAGAAATTGGGGGAGGGGGCGACCACGCCATCTCGCCCCTCTCGTATATTATGAAATTTTATGAAATTAAGAATGTTGACGTTCAAAGTATTATTATATTTAATTATTTATATTTGAATATTTGATTCAATAACAAATTATTATTTCACAAAATGATATCAACCACAAGAAAACACAAACGTTTAAACAACCACCTAACAAAATGAGAATGACAGAGAACCAAACTTTACTTGTCAAGTAGGTTTACAATGTGACGATCTTAAAGTTTGAATTCAACTGCTGCGGTTCTACTCAATGACCCAAACAGTAAAGCCAAAAGAAAAATCATTTACACGCAGAAACAAATAGTCACCATCTTCTACAATAGGTATCAGAATTTGTCACACTGGATGAAGTGGACATTTCATACTAGCTGTGAAATACGACATGCATCTTGTGAAGAATTCTAGTGACCAAAGTGAGACTTGTTAACATTTCTAACATCAAACGGTACGTATCTATCTATACCACTCTTACCACGTACCCGACATTGATGGAATCGATAGATGGACGTAGGTGGTTACAATTGTTTTTCTTTATCCTCTTCAATCTTCGTTAAATCCTGACCACTAAACGCAACGCTTATTTGAATAGTGAATGGAAGTATTATTTCGTGACAATTTCTTTTAGAGTTAATTCTTTGGGCAATAACAAAGAAAATTCGCTATAAAAGAGTCAAAGTCTTATAACAATTTTATATACCATCATTTAAATGTGATTTTAAAACAAAAAGAATGGAGGATTTGAACATTAAGTTTTAAATATGTGATCATGCCTTAATCATTGAAACAAATACTTTCAAATGTGATCTTGAAATGCTTAACTTTTCGTGTATTTTACGTATCAAAACGCGAAGAAAGCTACCTCTAGCACTAAGTAACCCGAGATCACACCAATTGGTTTTTTGTCATGCAAGAATTATTGTTCCACAAGTATAAAAATCCATGTGGTGACATGTTGAATGATGAAGTTAGGTAGTCTTGACAGAACTAGCTTGTCCAATACTAACTACTACATTCTTTTGTGCATGGTGCACATGTTATTATCATACTCTTAAACTATGTGGCTAAGGATGCACATGATGCACCAAAGCATTAAAAAAGGAGGGCTAATGTGATATCAATTGTGCAACAACCTACTCCTACAACCGTTATCAACGCACACAAATTATATAGGCATGTCTACACAGCCCGGTTAACCTTCCAAGCATCTTCATTTTATCAATATATGCTTTTCACTATGTCCTCCTTACTATCGGAGTTGATTTCATCAAACCTCAATATATTTTGTCATCAGTATTACGCAGCAAAATAATGATAGCTAAATTCTCCACCGCACATAAAATTCCAAAATAAAATTTACTAAGTACTTATACATCTCATTTAAATAATATAACTCCAAGTTAGTATCATAACCTCGGCCCAAAATAGTTTAAATTCATCACTTCAAATGAATGTAAAAAGAACTTGACGATTGAACAACGAAGTGATACAAAAGACATAGAGGAGATACCATTTACCTACAAAGATGCAAAAAGTATTCTTGTCAACGATGTCCCCAACTATTTATTTATCTGCATAATAATATACGTTGATGAGTCTCATAAGCTTAATGATCATCAACTCAGTGAGCAAGCTTAGATCAAGAAATCTTACTGAGACTTTCTTTGCAAGAAGGGAAACAAACATAAATGTGGAATATTTATAAATCCAAGAATAAGCGATGAAAATATAATCAATTAAACAGAGATATTTTGATGCCTTGTAAGTCTTAGAAAATAATAATTCTAAGTAAACACATATGGAAATGATTATAATTAACATGCTGGAAAGTCTTTCAACTTTAGTATCTTTTCAACAATAAATCCAATGGTAAGTGTAAAATGAGTAATCTCAAACATAAAAATGCAAAATAATCAATCACCAATGAATATGTAAATCTCACTTAGCATGTGAAAACAGATTTCAAGTATTAATGCCATGTCATGTTTAATAAAAATCAAGAAGTGAGCATCAACCTCGAGTAAGTCTAGGATTGGCTTTAAGCTTACTTTCTCAAGTCAATAACATCATCACTTACTCGTGGGAACTCTCTATGCCACTAAATATAAATCGGGGCTTTAAGTCTCCCTTTGTCGACTTATGAAAACTTCCGGAGCCACCAAATATAAACCAAGGCTTTAGGTCCCCATTTACCTTCTCATAGAAACTCCTCATGCCTCCAAATATAAATCAAGACTTTAGGTCCTTTTACCTACTTGTGGGAACTCTCCAAACCACCAAATATAAATCATAACTTTGGATCCCCTTTTACCTATTCGTGGAAACTCCCCACACCATCAAATATAAGTCGGAGCTTAAGGTTCCTCTTTATCATCAATAATCATTATTTTGTACACAAAAACTACACTAACCTGGTGAGGTAAAAGGTCCTACCCTTGAGTGTCTCCATTTTTTTAAAAGAAAAATCAATATAATTCCAATGCATTCAAGAAATGTGATAAAGCGGTATGTCATATAATCATAAACCAAAGCACAAATTTATTTTGAGACATGGCATATTAACCAAGCAACATGCATTGATGAAAATAGAATGTAAAACCGTCACTTTCCATGAGTCAAACATTGACTATTGGTCAAAGCACCACACAAAGCTTGCAAGGCAAGTTTTGAAGTGAAAAGCTTATTAAAGGTTTATTTCCCTATCTTTAAAACATGTAATTATATACATATCTATAATATAGAGAAAACGAATTTAAAATCTTTATCACTATCATAAACAACTTTAGACTTTCTATCAACTCATACTTTCCACAATTTCATTCAACCATCGAATGTAACATATATGTATAATATATTCTCAGAAATATAGTTTTAAAATTTAACACTCACTCACCTCAATTAGTAAGATTTCTCACCAATATTACTAATCATCCCTTTATAGTTTTATTTAGTTCCACCAAATGATTTTCATCAACCCAATAAACATCACCCAAGCATTCAAGAGCTGGTGTGTGTCCCAGTTCTAGCCTTGAATGCATTAGTTTAGGTAACTCCTAACAATTCACATTGTACCATTTCTTAATTACATCTCCACCACCACAATTCACATACATTCGGTTAACAGAATATTAATACTTAAAACTTCATTTAGAGCTGACCGTACTCACCTTGCTAAATCAATTGCCAACTTGAGTAATGCTAAGCAAGGCCTGGGCTGGGACCAATTCTTTTCTAGCAATCAATTTATCATTTCAATAACCCCTAACAGCTCCCATCATGCATTCACTTAGTCCAAACTCAAAACTAAGTATCAAGTATATACAGCAGCAGAGTATTTATATTCAATACTCAATTTAAATTAATTTCTCTCACCTTGATAAGGGTTCCTTTGCCAACTTAGTTGTTGTTTGACTCAAGTCTCGGTTGCAGCCGCCTAGAGGTCCATCTAGCTCAATTATATAACACAGTTTCAAAGTCACTAGCTTGGTACATTTGGTCAAACAGAAATCTATCAAACAGACCTCACTCCATCCACATTCTGACCTCTTTAATCTTTTGTTATTCAGCTCAATCAACACTCAATTCTTTTTATGCCTCAGGTTGGGCAGATTTTCAGCAATCTCTTTTCTTTTAACCCCTTGCATTAAAGGACATTGAATTAATTACACAAGCTCAGCATTCTTTTTCAACCCGTAACTAATTATGATACGTAGCCAAGCAATAAACCCTCTCCAACTTACCTCGTGGGCAGCTTAATTCATCCAAGGCATAGTTCTAACACTTCATTAGCCCAAGGCATCAAATCTGTCACAATAAGTTTAAGCAATATTAATTCTCTTGAACTTAAATTCTTTGAGGCTCAGATGAAGAATTCCTTACCCAACATGAAATTTTCAGCCTTTAGGTTTTGGTTTGGAAAGCCTTAAACTCTCTAAAGAAAACCGTATATAGGTTCGGGTTGGTGCACAAATTAACCATTCAAAGCTTTTCTTCTCTTAGACGACAACTCCTTCACCTGATTCCTTTTTCTTCTTCCTTCAAGTCTCCAGCTTCAATTATGAAAATTTGAAAGTCTAATGCTCGTGAAAGACAAGGAATGCTCGGGTTTAGTAGAAAATATGGGCAGATTGCCCTTAAGCTAACATTCCATTTGAATTTTTTGTCTTACTTTTTGGCATATTCCTTTTGTATTCTTTTCTTCATATGAACGGATTCCCCTATGTGGAATGCATTTCCAACTTTGTTCAATATTATTTTATTTTTCATGTCACCTCTTTCACTTTCATGTATTCTTACTTCATCAACACTCATAATTCATCTTAGTTGGTAAAATATCTATTTAAATCAACATATCAGGGGTGGGATGTTACAAATTATGACATTCTAACACTTCAGACTTGGATTGAAGAAACTTATATCAAAACCTACTTGATGTTGATAAATGGTGGGCAATTGTCATTTTCAATCAATGCATTCACTTGACATGATGTATTAGAATAAAATTTCCGATTCCTTCTTTTTCATAAATAATATATTAAATAATTAAATCGTAAATTTATATTTGTTGGATTGACATAATATAAATTATACACACTATATATTAATGAATAATAAACTGTCACATATCATTATTATGTAAATGCAAAAGTTAAGAAATCTATGTTAATAATATTTATTTATTTTATTTGTTAGCTTAAGCAAAAAAGGGAATCTCTTTCTTTTATTTTTTTAATAAAAACTTAATAACTGAGCATTTCCTTAAATTTCCCTGACCTTTTTGCTGAACTCTTGAATGCTATGTCTACATTTTTTATCGAGAATTAGAAAAAGTAAGAATCGGAAGTAATAATAAGGAAAAAGGCTTTCTGTCTTTTGACTCGAAATCCAAAGCCGGGAAGTTCTCCCAACACTGTGACGCAAGTGAAGTTGTCAACAATAATCCACACTCCAACCACCATGAACGCAGCAAGCAGCCAGACGCCTTGCGCCTGCGTCCCATCCTGCCGTCCCAGCAGCAGGAGCCTTCCATGACTGCGAAATTATTCCCATCACTTAACGGGCAACAAACACGAGCAATGTCTTCGATTGGTGTTGTAGGCTTCATCTTCACATTTAACCCGTCATCTCCTTGCCTCCCACTTAGCCTTTTCAATTTTTTTTTCTCTTTTCTCTACTTTTTAAAGGGAGAATAAGAAAGAAAGAATATTAGTAAAAATTTTAAGTCAATATTTTTAATTAGTATTTTTAAAAATATATGTATTTATTTTAAAAAATTTTACATTTAGTCTAATGATGAGAAAATAACTTATTATCATTGATAGTGTATAAATTATTTAATATTATCAATACGTTAAATATAAACTTTTATTTATAGTAATTTTTATCGCATACTAACTTGTGAAATTTAAAAGTTGACCATGATGTCATCCTGTTATGTTCCTTGTATATATGTTAGTAACACTTAAAACCTAATACAAAATCTATTACTACTTTATAAATATAAAATTTTTGGTTATGTGATTAAGTTTTTTTACAAGTAGTGTTTAATTTCTAATACAGAAAATTTTTAAGAGTTTAAAACATTGATGAACTGCATTTGACCGTTATACAAACTTTACATCCATTCACAAGATTCTAACTCGAGAATTAAAATGTGAAGTAGGAACAGTATTAATCATTACAATGGCTTTTGGATGCTCGCATTTTCTTAATATTATTAATGTAAAAGATGTTGTACTTTTGAGTTTGAGTTTTTTATTCCTAGTTCATTTTATAATAAAATCATGTGACCCATGCCTGAAGGAGCTCGAGCCTATACGATGAAGACAGCTAAATTTATGTAGAATAAAAGTACTTAGAAGAGGTTATATGAGGCCAATCGTAAGAGGCTTTCGTCTTTCTAAAAGCAAATTCGAGCAAATGTTTAACAAAGATACTTAAAACTGCTACCAGACAAGCAAAAGATTCTGGAACGGTGAGGACATAATTGACTGCCGTGTTAGAAAGAAGTGATCCCTACAGCACCAGGACAAATAGGAAATGCTTAATTAAATCTAAGCTGTAATCTATTTAATTGTTCCATGTGAACAAAGACCAAGGTCGGTGTAAGCAAGCGAACCACGCTTCCAAATTTTGTGAAGAAATCTCATAGCCGATTTGGTCACGGAAAATGGTTTCTAACTTGTGGTGATTACATTTTTTGTTGGCCAATGCTACGATTTCCCAAATACTTGAACTATCATCATTAAAAGGTATCATGTCAATTTGATGTGATTAAGCATTTTTTATTTAGTGTTTAATTATCATCGATAAACCCAATTCAATTTTCATTCCATGCCTCAAACATTATCAAAGCTGTGCCGCAGGTGATTGAGATTAACCATTGAGCTGGCGAGAAAGGGTGAGGAGAGGTCAAACCAGCTAGAGATTAGTTAGGCATATTTTAATCTTGGTAGGTCCTGGGATGCCTAACAGGCTACAGCAATTGTCATAGACTCCGACGCATCATGAATGTCCTACCAAAAGAAATCTGTAAAAAACTCCAAAGAATGATTAATTAATAAGCCAACAGCTCTCTTACGCCCTAGGGGCCCCCCTCCCGGGTCTCTGCAAAAATCATCATCTCAGTTTTACATCTGAACTGTCCTCTCCCGGAATAACACCAAGAAATTAGATTAGCACTAGTGGTGGTGCACTGGATTCTGCCATGCGATGTCTGGGCTTTCCTGGCAAATGGTACTGCATCTCACCCCACCCAACTTATCGCCAAACGAGTGGCTCATTTGATTTTTGTGCTTTATTGAGAACTGGTCTATTGGAAATTGGAAAAAAAAGTTTGTTTGTTTTTTTGGAGAATAAAAAAAACAAAAATATAATGTTGCCTGGCTGTGTAGACCGACGGTAGTCCTATACTCACAATTAATGATATAGCTGGGCAGCTCCCAGGTCCTGGCCCAGCCCTTAGCACAAAACGAGTTTTAGTGGGCCTCGTCCTTGCATTTGCAACCCAGGGCTGGGGTGAGGGTTTGATCCTTTCCCAGAGTTGGTACCTGTTGTGGGGATCCGCTGGTGGTTTTCGCAAATAGGACTATCTAGACAGGTCCTTTTTAGTCTAGAAACTAGAGGTGAGTATTAGTCGATTTCGATTTCGAAGAGAATAAAATCGGCCAAATCGATTTTTCTCAATAATCGACCGAAACCGATTGAGGAAGATTGAAAACTAGTTAAATCAAACCCGACGACGGTTTGGTCAGTTTTGATCAGTTATTAAGTTTAAATTGCTTGGGCTTAAATGACCCAAGCTGAAAAAAACCACTGAACCCATACTTTAATTTTTATATGGGCTGGCACTCTAATTTTTATAAGGGTTTGCATTTAATTGGCCCAATCATCACAACATTAATCCCTATCCATTACATATTTGAGCATTAATGGTTAATTATCACACCAACCATTACTACCCATTACAACCGATCGGCATTAATCCTCATTCACAAAGTCATCATAAAGTCACAGACAACAATAACATTAATACTATAACACTCTCGACTATGATATGAAATATGTGTGATGTTGGCTAAGTTATTTGATGAGTTAATTTTAGCCTTGATGTATTTGCTTGTACAATTATGAATATGTCTATGTTTATAGAGTATGACTTTAAATCTTGGCATGCTTGAGGACATTTGATGAATGTGGTGTATATGCTAAGTCTATGAAGTAGGAACTATGATACTTAGGGAAAATATTGAAATGTGATTAATAAATTGTATGGTTTGGAGTTTGATCGAAGCTTTGAGTTATGTTCTGAACATATGCATTGAAAAGTGTGGAATACATGATTAAATTTAAGGTATGGTTTAAGCAGGAAGTGGTTGGAGAGTTTGGATTTGAATTTAGAAAGCTAGAAGTGTTGAAAGGTTGCATTTTAGAGAAAATGTCTTGATACATTCATAAATGTATCGATACATTCTTTGCAAGAAGAACAAAAAGGCATTTTGCATAATTTTTATCAATACATAAAAGAATGTATTGATAGATTTAAGTTGGGAAATATTTTGTAATATTTTTATCGATACATTTGTTAAATGTATAGATAGATTTGTGAAAGAAGACATTTTGTAAAATTTGTATCGATATATTTCATCAATTTATCGATACATATAAGTCAAAAAGCATTCTATAAAATTTGTATCGATACATTGACACGTGCATCGATAAATTTGAGAGAAATTCGTGAAAATATATTGATACATCACTATAGGTTAGCAAAAATAAAAAGGGTTTTGAGCATTCCTTCCATTTAGAAAACAAAGGAAAGAAACTCTTCTCCATTGCCATTAAAATCCCATGTCCCTCATGGATTGAAGGAAGCCTATTTGAGGTAGATAGGAGCTTAGAAAAACCACACATGAGGTAAAGTTTAGCTCACTAAAGACTTAAATTTTCTTTGAAACAAATTATAATTTGAAATTTGTGATGGTCCAATCTAGTTGCCATTCTTTCTTGAATTTGTTGGAGATTTGGACTTTGAGTTGAGTTGATTTAGCACTCAAGTTAAAGGCTTGAAGTATTTTAATCCTAGAACTAGAAACTAGGATTGTAACGATGAATGGTTGAAAGCTGGACTAGTTCAGAAATGCTAGAAATTAGTTGGAAGCTAAGAGTTTAGCTGTTGAATTCTGTTTAGGAGAAGTTTAAGCTTTAGGAATTGATGTTGAGTTGGCATCCAACTAAAGTTAAGGACTTTAAGCTATTGGTGGGCTATAAGTTTGGTGAATTTTAGGTGAGTGAGGCAATTTACCTAGATATTAAAGATTGCTATATACATATTATCTATAAATGTGTGTGTGTTGCCATGGGGTACTTGTCGTTGATAGAATGCTTAGATAAATTTTTTTTCCAAGGTCAATGGGTTAATATGAGCTATAATATAGCTATGTTTAATAATAATAATAATAAAAATAATGTTGATATTGAATGAGCCACATACTAGTGATTGTGCTTGGCTGAATTTGTTTTGAGGATAAGGTCTATTGACGTGCCATTGTGCTTGCTTAAGCTATGGCTTGAAATCTTGTACGGTGATTGCATATGAGCATTGCTAATTTTACGAAATGAATATTACTTGTTAACTATGGAAATGAACTGTGAGAGTTTATCAAACTGCATATAATGGTTATGCATGTATGATGTTAAATGGCCATGAAAATTATTGCTACATGTGTGATGGCAACAAATGTTGGCTTTGATATGGTTCCATCCAATAAATGTATTCCGAATGATGATATGGTCTAGTTAGAAGGTGTCGCGATTCTCGTGGTCTGGTTTACCATCGGTGGCCTCAGTCCTAGATGTGTCTTGTTACCCGGAAAGACTCTTCTCTTGTTACCATTTTAACGATAACTTATGTTTATTGGAAAGTACTAGTAATACACCACACAGTTTTGTGTACTTTAAGGAGTCTTGATGAATGTGGTAAGCATGAGAAATTATCAGATTATGCTTAGCAGAGGGTAAGCCGGTTAAATGTGCACTTATGTACTCTTAAGAGGTCTTGATTAAATCTTATACTTATGCATATTTATAGCGGCATATCTTGCATTATTGGATTTGAACAATATTCCTCTGTTGTGCTTGTGTATTTGCCAACCACTCATTAAGTTAGTAAAAGACACACTCCAATGTTAGTTGCCATGTGTAGATAAATAGTTTGTGGGGATTCTCATACAAGAAGTTAATGGTTCGCGTCTGTCGGATAAATAGATACTTTTTGGCATTCAGTACGAATCCATTTCGCTAGTTTTGGTACAAATGTTGGTTGTTTAGTTGATGGCATTTGTATTGCCTCTGTGATGTATAAAGTATAGTTAATCTTATATGGGCATAGACCCACCATAATAACTAATGTATGGCTCTTGTAAATAGTACATAACTGTACTTTTGTTGGTTGAAATGTTATGGGTAGTATGTTATGGATATATTTGAACTTATATTATAAAATATGCTGTTTAGGCTTTATGAATTATTGGCATTGTCTACTTTGTTGCCCGATTTATATGAGGCTTGCTTGGGAATCATGGATTTTGCCTACGTGACTCGTGCACCTGTCACAGCCTTTGGATTTGGGTTATGACAAACACCCCAACAATAATATCATTCATAGGACTCAATCAAAGTCAAATACCCATTACGTAAATGATGATAAATGCTCATTTTTCACCTTGCAAAGAAATGGGTTAGGAAGGTTAAAATTGAGGCACGATGAAGGCAAAGTAACGATAGGGACGACGGTGAAGTGATTAGTGAAGTGAAAGGCTTTTAGGGTTTAGAAGTGATTTGAAAATTTTGTGAAGTGAAGAGTGTATCAATAAGGGGAGGGGATGGAAGAAAAAGGGGAGGCCCAATGTTCTCTTTCACCCATCCGTCCAGCTTTGCTAAAAAGGTCATCCACAATGACAATCTTCCATAAGAACCTTGGGCCCAAGTGGTCGAGCTTAATTTTACTAGTGGGCCAATGAGCTGGTCATAGAATTGAACAAAGAATGAACATTTTGATGATCATGGTTTTGAACCGTCCGATCACAGTTTCTCAGATATCAAGAAACCCAACGGCGCTGATACGAATAATGATAATAGAACTTTCCACACAATAGCATTTAAAAATCTAAAAAGGAAAGTACTAGAAGGACAAGCCCCTCGCTTTAGCCACACTATAAAACCCAGAGGGCAAAAGCGGTCCGGTTGCAGTTTACTTATTGGTACTAGTTGGCTGTTTTCCCTAGGGTTTCACATTTTGTAGTTCCTCTCCTCTATACTTTCTACTAACAATGAGGTAAGCTTAACAACCTTCCGTTTCTCTTTGTTTATTTAGATTTCTTTTTTTCCTGTGGATTTCGAATCTTTGCCCCCCTGCTAATGGATTTGATTGATATTACGCTTTTGCCACTTTTGTCTTTGTTCTTTGTCTGTTTCAACATGTGCTTTTGATCTGTTCTTTGAGTAACTCTGTGTAATAATGATCGTTGTTTAATTTTCTTTGTTTTAGTACTTCTTTGTCTTATAATATGTTTTAAAGGAAGGAAACGGAACTTTATGGGTGTGCGAATATTTTTTGTATAAACATGTTTTGAAGTCGTTAATCAGTTAATTTACTATTGATTAAAATGTATATACTGTAGTGGGGTTTTGATAAGGCTGCCTATCTGGGGTTGTTGCATTCGGAGTTGTTTCTTGTTGGGTATATTTTGTTTTGATATATGTCTTGTTAACTATGGTTAAAATTCTTAATTTTTTTTCAGTCGTCATCCCGAGGTGAAGTGGGCTCAAAGAAGTGACAAGGTTTTCATTACGGTGCTATTACCCGATTCTAAGAATGCTAAGGTCAATCTAGAACCAGAGGGAGTGTTTACTTTCTCTGCTAATGCTGGAGCTGACAATAACCTATATGAGTTGAAGTTGGAACTTCATGATAAGGTCAATGTGGAGGTAAGATACTTTTCTTGTAATTATTGGAATTCAACAGAACATTTGTCTCATTTTTAAATAGATATCTGAAAGTCTAGGTTGTCGATGATAATAATCAGTGGATGATAGTATTATGCTGCTAATTGGTTGCATTTGAATGAATTCTGAATATTAGCTAGCTTGCTACTAGCCCTCAATGTCATGTTTCAGGGCTTGCTTCTCTCCAAAGCTGCTAATTTTCTATACATAATTTTCAGGTGTATACTCTCTATTAGATTATATAGGGTCCAACGAGCTTTACATTGTTCATGCACGTTCATGGTTGCTGCTTCTAACTATATATTCTTCCAGGAGCTTTTCAAAGTGTTGCCTATTCATATTTGGTGTTTACCCTGGAATTTATACTTGTTTTAGGATAAACATACTACATACCTAGCACTGGTTACTTTTGACATTGATTTTGCAAATTATCTTCTGAAATTTTTTCTTACAGTGTGTTAACAGTTTCTTTTTTGCTTTTTTTTTTATTTGGAAAAAAGGAAAGCAAAATTAATATAGGAGTTAGGAGCATATTCTGCATCTTGGAGAAGGCTGAGAAAGTGTGGTGGAATAAATTATTGCGTGGTGATGGCAAGACCCCCCATTATGTCAAAGTGGACTGGGACAAATGGGTGGATGAAGATGAAGAGAATGGTTAGTGTTGTGATTACTGATGTTTTTCTGTTCAAATCGAATTGATGTAAATGCTGATACGTTTTAAACAGGCAATTTATTAAATTTTCACTTATACTTTTGAATAGGTGTTGGTGATCTCGACTTGGGAGGAATGGACTTCTCGGTATGGTTATAGTATCTTATCTACAAATTTCATTTTCAGTATTAACCTATATTTTTCTTTCTGACCAAATAATTATGGTGTTATGCAGAACTTTGGTAATATGGGAGGCATGGGTGATGGTGGCATGGGTGATGGTGGCATGGGTGACTTTGAAGACAGTGATGATGAAGGTAAGAATGCTGCGAGGCTTTCTGAGTAATATTATGCATGCGATTACGTATTGTTTCCTTTGATTCTTTGGTTTGGTAATTTTGGTTTGTGGGTAAACTGATTCTCATCCATTGTAGAGCAAGAAGTGTCGAAGCCAGGAGGAGATGCAAAGCCAGAGGAGCTAGTTGCTGGAACTTCAGAGAAAAAGGAAGCTGCACCAAGCACATGATATCATGTTAGCTGAAGATATCAAATTCTGTTAACTTATAGTTGTACGTTATATTTTAAGTCTCTTTGATGGGATCAAAGCGTGCTGTTTTCCTAACTGCGTGAGATTAAAGTTTGTGTAATTCGGGAAGATATATGTATCTGTCTAATGGACAGGCAATTATCTCTTTGACTTGAATTAGGATGTTGGACCTGTACCTTTATATCATTTGTTTGATGGAGATAATTAGAGATGAGAATTTGGAATTCAGCATTGATTGGGTCTGGTATTTGTTATCTTCTACAATCTTATTCGTTCCTGTTATGTACTTAGTGGGGGTAAGGAATACCAGTTCTTAGTACCAAGGTGTATCAGTATAATCCTACATTAGCTGTTGGCTGGGCCTTAATGGTATTTACCTATTTCATTTTGGTGGTTTAAGTTACAGTTGGAATATGGAGCTAGGTTTACTTCCTAATATAGGTGTTAATAACACAATAAATTTGTAAAGTCTTCGAAAATGTTAAAAATCCTCGCAGGAGTATATAAATTCCTTGGTGAGATGATATTTTCCAGGTTATATGACAAAGTCATAGATCGCCGAAACAAAAGGTTTTAACGAGTTGTACGAAATACTTCACTGCTTCTACTACGCATAGTGCAACAATTTCCTCAGGGATATTAAAAAGAGTAAATTACATAAAAGCTCTTTGCGATTTAGAGTGGAACCTATTTAGCTCTTGATGTTTAGAACGTGACAGTTTTCTCCGTTACTCTACCAGTTAACACCGTCAACTAAATTTTGTCTTGTCGGCTAAACAAGGCATTAGAGAACCCAAATAAAAAATCACAGAAAAACAAAGTATAGAGAAGAGTCCAGGCGCAGCAATGGGAGGCCAAGTCGTGCTTGAACGCGGTCAATAATGGCCATAAGCGCAGGAGGAAGAGCGAGTCGATGATGAGGTGTTTGCATTGCAGCAGGTTTTGAGAGTGGAGAAAGAATGAAAAACGAAAATGAAAAATATAAAAGTCCACGTGGCAAATAACCTATCTTTGTGCATTTTGATAATTGGTAGTGCTTGTTTCTTAATTTAGTGGTTCATGCATAAGTTTCTTACTAACAAATGAGGTGGCAAAATATGATTGGTTGATAAAGCCGGTTAAACTGAACCTCACCGTTTGGAATCGACCCTCTAAAACCCTGAATTCGCTGTGCCTATGCGCCCCTTGCCTTCTTTGCCTTGCATTTTTTCAATTGCGAAGGCTCAAAGCAATGCAAAGATTGAAACGAGAGAGATGGAGGAAGCTTCGGAGATGGAAGTAGAGGAACAGAAACAACCTGTTCAGAATAATCAAAGCTCAGCCAAGAGATTGGGTCTCAAAAACTCGATTCAAACCAACTTCGGCGACGACTACGTTTTCCAAATCGTCCCCAAGTACGCTTTCTCTCAGAAAATCAATTCTAATTATTGAAAAATGGAAAATTTTTAAGTTTTGGTGGCTAAAGTTATAGCTGATAAGTTATTTTTTGTCTGTGTGATAAAAAAAAAATTGAAAGGGATGATTGGGCTTCCATGGCGGTGTCATTGTCAACTAAC